TTGGACATCAGGAGGCACTACTTCATGGTCAGGGCGGCTAGGGTCTGGAACCAGCTTCCAAGTGAGGTGGTACAGGCTCCCACCCTGGGGGGTTTTAAGAGGAGGTTAGATGACCATCTTGCTGGGGTCGTTTGACCCCCAGTACTCTTTCCTGCCATGGCAGGGGGTCGGACTAGATGATCTGCCCAGGTCCCTTCCAACCCTAGAAACTATGAAACTATATTGTCCAATAAAGCAACTTCAGAACAGTGAGAAAAATAATCTAAAACCAACAGATAATCTTTGCCAGCTAGTGTAAACAGATCAATTCCCACTTTGTACCATGCCCCTTGAATATCATTGTCTATCCACATTGGTTCCTTCTTAGGCTGGTATTTCTGGCATGTGTCACATTTATGTACAGCATTTTCTAGCTGACTGTTCATAAGTGGCTAATTAGAATACCTCCCTGGCCCTCCTTTTGCATTTTTCAATGCCCAGATGACCCTCAGGCAGACAAGGTTCCTTGGGTGAATTTGATATGGTTGGAGTGGATCCATGATGTAATGATGAGTGCTGTTAAAGAAGTACACCTTCTTGATAAAAGAAAATCTTCTATTCTTTTAATCATGTCTACTTGTACACTGATGGTATTCTCAATACTGTAGGTTGGCTTTCAGGAGGAGGATACACGTTTCACTATCAGGTGCAACTTCTTTACGAGTCACCTGTCTTCACCAGGCCTGGCCTCCTCTGGACAGATGCCATTCAAATGAGATCTCCAAGGTAGGCGAGTGTACCACCCCTGGGGTGAGTCTGTTCCACATCGTGGGCACTCAAATCATGATGTTTCTCCTTATGTCCAATTTGAAGCAAATGGTAGAAGTACAGGCATTTGCTCAGAGAGAAAGCCTTTAAAAATGGCCTCTGCCCATCTCCATTATGTTCCTGAGCAGAAAATATTCCCAGAGGGAACACTCACTTGTCACAACCTTCTCTCAAGGGGGTTGTTTCTGTAAGATCATAGGAAATAGGGCTGAAAGGGTCATCAAGAGCTCAAGACAGGATTATCCCTGATCAGACCATGCCAGCCAAGTGTCTGTCTAGCCCACTCTCCAAATTCCCTGGGGATGGAGCTGCCACAGTTTCCAAGGATGGAGATTCCACAATTTCTCTAGGACATAGATCACTGAACAAGGCTCTATCAGGTGCACAGCTAAGGTCTGTCAATGTGACCCCTACTCCAAAACACTGGTGACCCCTATGGTAGGGGCTAAAAAAGAAAAGTTGCTTTCCTTTATTTGGACTTGCAAGCAACCTTTAAGAAGTCTCCACCCAAATGGTGGTGTTATGTAAGCTAAGGCTGTGAAAAGGATTAATTAATGCGAGTACAAACTGAATTAAACTGCACAAATGTATAAACTGGATTTGTGCCAGTTTAATTCTATTTTGCTTATTTTTAGTTACCTTAAAACAATTCCTCTTCCTAACCTGGAAAGGACTGCCCATGCTGTCTTTTGTACTAGTTGAACAAGTTACAAGGTTTTACCTGCTTTTACAATTTATCTGGATTTTATTATAAAAAGTTGCTTTGGGGGACAGCAGGATACACATTAAATAAATAATCAATACTAGTTGAACTGGTATATTTAATTAATCATTTCCTGATTTAACCAGGATAACCTTCCAAGCTAGAGCAGATTTGATTCTTTATCTCTTGCCCCATGATAAACTGTCTGGATTTTGTTGGCTGAATTCATTCCACAAATGCTAGGTAACACAGGCTGAATATACCTGACCGGTATCCTGGGTAGTACAATTATATTAATAATGTATCATTCCAGCTGCTCATACACACTGTGGAGTTTTAAATTAACTATAGCCACTAGGAGAAAAGACAAGGACATTATTCTGTCCAGCTCAGTAAAAACATCTCCTAAATAGTAGTTAAACCAGGAAACAAAATATTATCCTATGGGAAGAATGGGAAAATGAGTACTGAGTACGTTATAAAACTGCATCTACACCTGGAATAATCTGTATTATATTCACCATCCCATTTCCAGGAAGATCAAGGGGAAATGGAAGTATGACAGAAATGAGCCAAGATTTGGAGGGGCTTCTCTATTAAGCCCAGTTGTAGAGATTAGAGTGGCTCGGGTTAGACAGGAGATGAGGACACGAGATCAAAATATACAGAAATCATGAATGAAAGATGGTCACTACAAACATTTTCATACATTTGCTGATGTGAAAAGAATCTCTCCACTAAGTTCAGAAAGCTTTGGAGACCGCCCAAAGACTGTCCTAAGAGTAAAGAGAAAAATCCCAGAGCCGACATCAAAAGAGAAAAAAGATGATGAGTGAATTATTTGGGTGAGGCTCCAGACTCTCATTGGAAAGAGAGCTTACTGAACTTAAGTGTTTCTTTGAGTTACCAAACCTTTTTTCTTGAAGCAGCTGTATGGTTTTGCCAACTGAAAGATTGCCTGTTAAGATGCTATCAGTTACATAGATTATGCAATTCTTAACAAGAATAAGAAAGGTGTGTTGACTGTAATTATTACAGCTTAGGATAAATTTTGAAATAAAGCATAAATGTCACCATACTACTTGCCAAGTAGATGGGTATTACAGAATACCTTACAGGACTGACGGATGCATTTCATGAGTGGGTTGTTTTAGCCCTGGTGTTTACTAACTTACGGGGTGTTTTTGGAACTACTGCAGAGAGTAACTTAAGTAAGTAGCATCATATAAAAGAACGAGCCTTGAACTCTGTCACAGCTCTGCTCACAACTATCACTCATTGTCTTAGAGATTTGGAGACAGTATGATCGCTTAGCAAACTCAGGCAGCTAGCAAGCGGTGTGCTGTGTAGCAGTGCGCAGAGCCTCCCAGCCTCTGCCTTCAGATCCATGCACTGATTGAGTTCCTGCGAGTGGGAATGGATGAGGCACATCAAGGCGGCGTTGGCTCCCCTGCACAGTCTGTTAGCTTTTGTGGCTGTGGATTTATCCTCGGTTATGAGCTAGGAGTTATTCAGGCCCTGCAGGAATTAGCACCTGAGATGCTGGGATCAGCAGCCAAATTCTTTGGAATATCGAGCGGAGCAATTGCAGCTGCAGTACTGGCGTGTGGGGGCAACAAAGGTAAGGTGGATGAATGGTTTAGTTTGTTTGGTATACCATTAAATGTGACTTCCTCTAGCGCTTCATTTAGAATGGTCTAACTACTGACTGGATCAAAGGCATAGGACTGGAAGGACCAGTAGAGATTATCTAGTCCATTTTCCTGAATATCAGTTTTTAATCCAATACCCGTAACTGCAGAGCGCACGTACTGCAGAACGTATGGTAACAAATGTTCCCATACATTTGAGTCAAGTTTGAATTAATGTCGTGTGTGTGTGTGTGTGTGTGTGTAATGTATTAGCTACTCAGCAAATATATCTGAAGTTGACATAGTGCTCTTTTTTTGTTATCACAGTAGGTTTTCCTATGCTGCAATGCTTCTTTAGCTTCCCCTCCTTGTCAGTTCAGACCACAGAGTTTTAGGGGCAGAGACCCTCTCTGCCTGTATGTATGAACAGCAAAAAAAATAGCAGTCAGGATTTCAGCTCAGTCTTCAAGCCCTTATCTAAACACTGTCTGTCCATTCCCCCCACCCCAATCTTATTTTCTCTAAAGCCACAGGTCTTGTTTGGGAGTTATACCAAACTCTGCTGAGCCAGCTGTAAATGAGCGTCTGCCCACTGGTGCAGACAGAAGTGAAGCTCCAAGCTGCAACTCAGAACGATTTTTGCAAAGTGTTCTAAGTTACAACAGTACCGCAGACCAAACAGAAGTTCACTGTTGGTTACAGGGGCCAGGGGGATCTAGCTGCTGGCTGGGAGCCTGCAGCCAGCTGCCTATAGCCACAACTATTCCTCTCTGCCAGTGCTACTCTTTTCAGAATGGGAGGAAGGAAAGACAGTGGAGGGAACTTTTGAGACTCCCTAGCTGGTGCTGAAGGGTGGGTGAATTGGAGCCCACTCCCCACCCCCACCTTGGGAGGGCTCTAATACACCTGCACCAACCTCCAGGAGGGGGCTGAAAACCCCCCAGACTGAACTCAGTTTCATAGTTTCTAGGGTCAGAAGGGACCTGAACAGAATCAAGTTTGACCCCCCCTGCCCTGGGCAGGAATGAGTGCTGGGATCATAATACCCCAGCCAGATAGCTATCCAACAACCTCTTAAAGACCCCCAAGATAGGGGAGAGCACCACCTCCCTTGGGAGCCCATTCCAGAGCCTGGCAGCTCTAACTGTAAATTAATGCCTCCTGATATCAAGCCTGAACCTGCTCTCAATCAATTTGTGCCTGTTATTCCTTGTTATCCCAGGTGGTGCCCGGGGGAACAAAGCCTCACCTATTTTCCACTGGTCCTCCTTGGTGAGTTTATAGACTCCTCCTGCTCCCTTTCCCTCTTCCCATTCTGACTACAGCAACAGGTGAGGAGCTTTGCAGACAAGTTACAAAACATGCTAGATTTCGAAATATCCTTATCTAATACCTCATGCAAATGAGGGATCAGATTTTCACCCCGTCAACCATTTTTTAAACTGTCTGCAGCCGTGCACTTGTGTTTGGTCACAGATATAAACTGCTTTCTGTGGCCCATTGGGTGCAAATTGTCACTTCTGTCTGCACCAGGGTTTAGGAGGCCAAGGCAGCTGGATTTGATACTAGCAGACACTACTCCCTTCCATGCCAGATTAAAGAAACTGAGATTCCACTGGCCTTATGGCTACCTATGTTTGGGACAGACCGTTCACCTATTTCTGTTGAATAAACTGTCCAGCTTTGCTGTAAGAAAGCACTAAATATTGTGGTGTCCCCTGAGCATTTCAGGCCTATTACAGGTAAAACCAGCCATGTCAGGGGCACATAGTTACAGCACACACCACCCAGACATGCTAAGAACAAAGGGCCTGACTCCGCTTGCACTTCTGGCTCTCATCAGTGGCTCCTGGGATTATGAAACAAGTCTCCCCTCTACATAGTAGCCAGGCTCCAGACAGTTTAGTTTTCAAGATCAAATGGGAGTAGTGATAGTCTGTCCAGCCTGAAGGCCTGTTTCTAAGTGTCATGGCTGTTATTTATTTCACACATTTTCTCTACTATTCCATCCCACCACACTGACTTTACCTAAGCCAACATGATTCCCAGCCACAAGCCCCAACATACCCCACACTCTCTTCAGCCAGCCTACCAGGTCTGCTAGGGGAAGAGGGCCTCCAAGCCTGCCACTGGCAGAGTCAGCACTAAGTTTGGTACTGGGAGCTGCTTCCAATAGCAATCCTCATGGCTTTCTAGGTTTGAGACGCTCCATCCTGCAAGGACTGACATAGAAAGGAGAGCTGCTGAGACTGGTTCAATCCACTTACTGTAGCTAAGGGAAGAGAGGCAGAAGGCCCAGAGTGTGAAAGTAGATGACCAAGCATCTTTAAAAACAAACAACATGTTTCTATTTCAAATGACATTTTCCTCTCTTCCTGTGATTAAGCTGCCTTCGGGCTACTTGGCCAGGACCCACAGCCCCTCCGTGCCCTATTTAGTCTGCTCTCCAGGTTCCCTTTATTCTTGGCCAGCTTGGACCCTCAAAGAAGCATCTGAACAACAATAGAGACCAAGCACCTGGTCTCAGCTTTCCCTCTCATCCCTTCCTGGGGTTTGTTTGCACTGGTAATAACAGGCTGAATTGGATTAAGTAGAAATCCCCAGGAGAACAAACCACCTGTGAGATACAGGCACCTAACTCCCTTTGACTTGACTGGGCCCCATGAACAGCAGTCAAGACTTGAAGACTTGGTTGTAATGATCACTTCTCTTTTTTTTTACCCTAGAAATTGTGGATGAATTTTACTATGCAGTAATGGAGAAAAATAAGAAATCACTCCTTGGCCCCTTCTCTTCAGGTTCCAATTTCTTTAAGCTCTTGGAAAAGGGATTGTACAAAAGCCTAAAAGAAAACTGTCACCAGCTGGCCTCCGGGAGGCTTCATATTGGTCTCACACGTCTGCCAGATGGCCAGAAAGTTGTAATTTCAGACTTCTGCTCAAAGGAGGAGGTCATTCAGGTAAAACAGACTTTGTTTTCCTTGCAGTTTGGAATAAAGGTGATAAAAATCCCAGAGTTAGAACAGTAAGTGTGCTTTTCAGGAGGGCTGAATTGTCCATGTTTAGCTGATCTTCATGTAGGCCAAGCGCAAAACCATGAACCCAGCATTGGTTTCATGGAAAAGCACAGATGCGGCCAAAAGAATCATAGTTTCTCTTCTTAGTTTGGTCATTGATCTGCTGAGTGACATTGTCCAAGGTACCGCCGCTCTGTGCCTCAGTTTCCTAGTCTGTGAAATGAGGAATGCAAAGCACTAAATAGGAGAGGTCCCATCTTTTTCACTACAAATGCGTTTACTCTTTTATTCTCTCCTTTGGCTGTAGGCAGTGCTCTGCAGCTGCTTTATTCCTTGCCTATGTGGATGGATCCCTCCTTCCTTCCGAGGCGTGGTAAGCTCTTTGGTACCTATTATGTGGGCAGGGGTGGCAATAAGAGTGTTTGCACCAACCTGGGCCATGTTGTGGACTCCCAGACATGACGGGGATGATGCGGACCTCCTGGCCTCTTGCTGCTTAGATCCTTGCTACCCAAAACATTCTGGCCCATATCTCCACCCTAAACCCCCTCAATGTATTGTTGCCTTACAATACATTCCTGATGATATTTCTGAGTCAGTGGCTGTGATTTGGGAAATCCCTAAGGTGCTGTTCATTGCTACCAGCTTTCCATAACAGGTGGTATAGGCAGAGGCTCACTGATTTACCATTAAGATGCTGTGTTACCCTGGGCACGTGACTCCCACTCTTTTTCCCTGTTGCTTTTCTCCATTTGATCTTTTTAATCTGTTGGGCTCATCCAGGCTCTCGCTCTTTGCCATAGCACAATGGGACTTTGGTTTCAACTGGGGCCTCTATGGGCTGGTCTACACCACAGCACTGGGAGGGTCCTCCTAAAACATGTGCTTTGTTTTCCTCAGCGATATATTGATGGAGGATTCACGAGCCTGCAACCTCTCTCTGACCCAGAAACTACAATTTACGTATCACCATTTGCAGGGGAGAATGACATATGTCCAAGAGATTGTCCAGCTGCTTTCTACACTATCAAGTACCTTGACTGCAGTTTTCAGATCTCAGTTGAGAACCTGTGCAGGATCTCCTATAGCATATTTCCTCCTTTATGGCTGGTAAGTAGTCTTAGGGACAGAGCTGTGTCTGGTGCGACTAGTCACAGCTCCTGGAGCTCTGCCCAATTTGCCAGCAGCCTGGGTGCTGACAAACCAGCACCCAGGCTGCATCACTAATAAAGATCCCAGCATGGAGCCCAGGAGTCAGATCAGCGGTCAGCTGTGATCTGGCTCCCAAGCCAGGTTAAGATCCTGATGTGCCTGAATCCCAGGAGCCAACAGTGGTCTGCAGGCATACTGAGACCTTAAAAGGGTGAGTGGTCTCTCAGCAGTGGCAGCAGAGGCCCCATCATCCTTGCCATCTATGGCTGCCTGCAGAAGGGGAACTTCACAGGTTGCTGGGGCGCCTGACACTAGCTGGGCATTCAGGCTGCCTGGGAGCCCATCTGGGCTGACTCGGGGTGGGGAGAGCTACGAAGCAGCCTCCTAATGCCCCATTGCTGGAAAGCATGCCTTTGTGGCTGTGGGGTCCCTCTGAACCTGTGGCTGAGTCCCCACAGTGCTCGTTACTGTTGTACTGCTAGAAATCTTGTACTACCAAAACAATGTGTCCAGAGGCAGCTTTGAGAAAGTCTAGCCCTCTTTTAAGGCCTTTGAAAATGGTGTCTCTTCAGATGCAGTCACCAATCACAGTCATTCTAGTTATTAAAGCTCTGTACATTGCAAAAAAATCCCTATTTTATGACCTTAGAATGGTATTCCTCTCCAGGACATACGTGAAATATATGAACAAGGATATCGTGATACCGTTTTCTACCTGCAAATCAACAGTAAGCGCTGCATAACAAATGAATTATGTTCTTTCCCTCTGGCACTGACACTTAGGAGACAAGCTGAATAAAATGCTGCTTGGAATCCTTAAGGTTGGTATTTATAGATTCATAGATGTTAGGGTCGGAAGGGACCTCAATAGATCATCGAGTCCGACCCCCTGCATAAGCAGGAAAGAGTGCTGGGTCTAGATGACCCCAGCTAGATTCATATCCAACCTCCTCTTGAAGACCCCCAGGGTAGGGGAGAGCACCACCTCCCTTGGGAGCCCGTTCCAGACCTTGGCCACTCTAACTGTGAAGAAGTTCTTCCTAATGTCCAATCTAAATCTGCTCTCTGCTAGCTTGTGGCCATTATTTCTTGTAACCCCTGGGGGCGCCTTGGTGAATAAATCCTCACCAATTCCCTTCTGTGCCCCCATGATGAACTTATAGGCAGCCACAAGGTCGCCTCTCAGCCTTCTCTTGCGGAGGCTGAATAGATCCAGTTTCTCTAGTCTCTCCTCGTAAGGCTTGGTCTGTACTTAGGAACTTTCATAGCTGAAAGCAGGAGATGCAAGAGCTTTAGCAGAAAACCCTGTAACTGGAGCTGTGCTGGTCCTCTGAGGCCTTGTGCAGAGGTGACATACAGTGCACATGGTAGGGCTGCAGCATTGGCCAGGAAATATATGAGGCAAGTTTTTTGACCTGAGGAAGGGCATTTTGTGCCTGAAGCTGAAATATCAAGTCGATCCAATAAAAGAGACCACCAGAAAAATCCTTGCCTCTATAATGCTAGTGTCTTAGGTTTCCATATCCTAGAATTGATTTCTAAAGAGGAAATCAATTTATGATTCTATTATTATTCTATCTGTAAGACCCAGCTAGACAAAGCATTGGCAGGGATTATATAAAAGGGGATGGTCCTCCTTTGAGCAGGGGGTTGGACTAGATGACCTCCTGAAGTCCCTTCCAAGCCTAATTATTTATGATTCTATAATACCCATCCAGTGCGACTATAAATACATATATGATGTCTGCTCAGTAGCCTACATGCTGCACTGGCTGGGCAGCTACATGTACATCAGCATGAGTCGCAGAAGAATGAGGAGGGTTCTCCCAAGTCTTAGCAGCTGACAGATAAGGTATTTTCCTATTGCCTCTTCAGTCTTCCTTTTGGCCATGAGCAGTACACCTTGCAGTGAGGCAGTAGAACCATAGAGCAGCAAAGAAGTTTCTGCCCCACTAGGCATAGGGGTCCAGACTAGCACACAGACCCTTTGCCTCCTAGTGCTAGTTATAACCATGCGTGGGTGAGCAGGGCATAAGCCCTGGGCACTACCTAAAGAGTTTGTGGGTGCAGGAGCAATGGCTGAAGGGTTGCTGTTGCAGAGGAAGATTTCAGCTCCTTTTTTGCCACCAGAAAAGGTGGCTTTTGGGCTCCTGCACTTGCATGTTAGGAGGTGACACCCCCTCCTACCCCACCCTCTCACCAGCAGCAGCAGACCTCTGCCCTGCCCTGCCCTGCCCTGCCCTCTATGCAGCCGAAAGCAGGAACATGTGGGGAATGCATTGCTGCCCAGGACACAGTGTTGCCCTGTTATACCTTTGCTTTTTAGAGCAGCAACTCTTTTACTGAGCCATACATGATCTGACTTGTACACTGCCTCCAGGCCCCACATATTCCCACTCTTGCCTGGCTTCAAGGTGAGCACTGGAAGGTGTCTAACCTGGGGTAGGGGAGGGATCCTATACCCCAGATATTCTGCTTCTTGGACAAGTACCCCTAACCACTTATCCACTGGGGTTAAAACATGCAAGGACACTCCTCCTCTGGCCACTAACACCCATTGGTCATGGGATTTTGTCTCCTAAAATTTCATGACCTGCACACAGCTGTGTACTGGCCCAGCTGCTGCATATCCTCTCAAGCCTGCACAATATACAAGCACACACCATCCCCTCTTATATAATAATATATATGCACACATTTGCTTGTGCAAAGCAGAGTAATGAAATCAAAAAGCTGCCTTATGTAGCAGGAAAACTCCCATTTAGGCACCCGAAGGGGGATAGATTTCCACCGGAAATGACCTGACACAAACTCTAGGGTGGGGCTGGGACTAGATCCCAGGTAACCCCAGGTTCAGTTCTGTGCCTGTGCATTCATCTCTGATTTGTGCCTGAATTCATCCTGTGCACCAGTATGAGACTCAGGTTAACAGTGGATTGAAGAGGCAGAAGACATTACATTGCCACCGTAGACAAGACTCTCTTGCACACAGCATCATCCATGTAGCTGCCTAGTTCTGTGTGAGTATTTGTGAAACCTCAGGTGCGTTTTTGTTACTTTTGACAGAGGAACATGGAACAGTAACCAGAACATCAAAGAAGACTTCCCATGAGAGGCTGCAGCACAGGCTTCCAGGTCAGGGGTCCTCTTTTCTTTCTGTGGTTTTCATTAGTTGAATTACACTTATCTTGGGAACTGCAGGAAGTTATGTACCAAGGGCAGGATGAAGCCTAGACATTGCATTCCTCTAGTACTGGGCTTCTTGCTCCCAAAGGAGATTCTATTGGATTAGCTTGGGTGTCTCAGATCCCTACACAGTCAATGGGGAGACACTGGAGGTGTCTAGGAGTGATTCATATTTAGATACCCAGATGGCCTACATGAAAACTTAAGAGTAACAGGCATCACCAAAGCCCAGTTCAGAAAGCTCGAAGTGAAATGGACCATAGCCCTATTTCTGATATCTTCTTTTGACAGATCTTTTAGCAACCATGAATCTTTTTTTTAATATTTGCATTGTTGGTTTCTTTTTCTGTTTCCTTTCTGGTTTCTGCTGCTGAGTCAGATGTCCAGAAGAACAGGAATTTATCTGGATTGCTGCATGCCTTGGCTGAGATCTTCTTGCAGAGTTTCTGGAATTACATCAAATATCTGCAAAAAAGATAATTTTGTCTGCAAAAGCCTAATGAAGACTGAAAGGGAAGTTTCAGGAGGAGGAGAGTTCTTATATTGGTGGGTATGGAGAGGGAGACATTTAGGACTGTGCATTCTGGGTTATCCTCTAAAACCTTGCTAGAATAAGTTTTCAGGAAGCTGCAATGTATACACAATAGCTAATTACATGATATAACAACTGTTTTATTGATGTTCATTTGACGTGAAGAATTCACTTGTGGTTTTTGCCACACAGAAGTCATGTATGTAACCACTAATCATGATATTAAAAAATTTACAGCACCATACAGTTACACTACCTATAAAGTATTAATTTGTACTGCTGTTTTTCATGGAAACATTTAAAAATGTGTCAAAGGCTAAAATGTAGTTTCAGCTGAAATGTTTGTGTTGTCAAGCATACAATTTTTAATTAAATAATTTTCTGAGGAAATCAAATGCATATCAAAAAACTATTAGCTGAAACCCCATCTTTCCTGTAGCCCTTAACATAACTACCACCAAGTTTGTTATTCTGTTCCAGACTTTCGTGAATTTGTCTGCATCTTTATTGAATTGCAGTGGACACAGTACTCCTGGTGAGGCTTTACCAGTGCCACATAAAGTGGAAGAATTGCTTCTGTTGACTTCCAAGCAACACTTCTGTGTTATTCCTATCCAGTATGCCTTTGGCTTGTCTCACAATAAAAGCACATGGTTGGCTCATTGTCAACGTATGCTCTACTCTAAGCCTTAGATCTGTTTTTGCAATATTGAAGCCTGCTTAGTCATTCCCCTATATGTATCCGTTCATGCAATTGTTCTCTCCTAAGAGTAAAGTTTTGCACTTGTCCTAATTGAATTTCATTTGATTAATTTCAGACCAGTTGATCAAGAACACCCTGAATCCTCAGCCTATACCTCAGGGCATCTGCAATTCCATGCAGCTCAATGTCATTTGAAATATTAAGGAACCCTGCCTGATGTGTTTTTTTTCCATAATGTAATCTTGCAGACCTGGTTTATGATCTCTAAGTGGTTGTGGCTGACTATACTGTAATTGTATGCTGTTCATAATGGGCTACTCGTTGTTCAAGTCCAGACAAGTTAGTTTCAAAGGCCAGCCACCCTGTTCATAGATAAAGTCCAAAAAAAAAAAAAAAGAGGCATCAACGGAAATTTTAGTTTGTCTGTGGCTCCTGTGTTCATATGTCAAAATCCTATGGATAAATCAGCCAACGAGAATACAAGTATGTCAGGGCTGTTCCTGTACATTTAGGACTAGGTTAGGTGAGCACTTGTATGTGATGGTTTGGAGAAGGATGATCTTGACTGGAGCAGGGGGTTGGACAAGGGGATCTTCTGAGGGAGGTCCCTTCCAACTCCACATTTCTAAGATACGATGATGCAGTGATGGATTAAATATTTTGCTCATGTACCAGTAGCCCAAGACTGCACTAGGGATGGAGCCTCTGGAATCAGACAGAGCTGGAGTCCTCTCCACCCAGACTGCTCGCATGCTTTGAGCTAAGCTCAGTATGTTCCCTCCTTTACTTCAAAACATTTGAGTGTGTGTGGTCGTTTGTTTGGCTTTTTCCCCTAGCTCCTCTCCAGTTTGCTAATGACCTTTCCCCACAAATGTAAGACAGTCACTATGACCTGAATGAGCTCTTTGTTCAGACTACTCGGGCACAACAATGTTCTGCCTGGCTGACACACCTGTGGGGGAAAGGCGCAGACTCCCCAATGCAAGCTGGTGTGAGTTTCTCATCATGCTTTTGTGCAATCACTTATGATCCAAAGCACAAGGTAACTTGGACTGAAGGTGAGGAGATTTATTTTCCACAGATCCGTGGAAACCTTGTGAGACATTAATCAGTCATTACTGCCAGGTGTGCTCTCAAGTCCCAGTGTTAGATACTGCCATGGCAAGTATATGAGAATCTAAGTAGAATGGTGGTACTTTGACTGTGGGGACATGCTGGAGGCCCCTGAACATGCTGTAATAAGATGGTTCCTGCACCAACATAGTTATAACTTAAATAAATAAAAGTCAACAGGAGTTGCACTATGTATGTATCTAAGTACAGAATCCATCTTTTAATTAGTCAGTGATATCATTCCTTATCTCCCGTTTAATTTCAGAGCCCAAGGAGGCCAAGTGTTTGCACTGAGAATACAGTCCAGTATGAGCCAGTGAATCAGTGCCCCAAATGCATAATGAACAGTCTGATGAATAGATACGACCTTTTTCATAATTGATTCTTAATTGGCTATAGCCTAAGGATCCAAGGCATATGCAGGTTAAAATACAAGGTTCTCTGACATAACCCCCTTATTAAGGATACAGTCGTGGGAGGAGGTTTGCAGTCTGTGACCCTGAAAAAGTAACAGGGAATAATTCATAGCACGTCTTCCCTCATTAGTGAGACCTTTCAAACAGGAGTGCTCTCAAGGTACACCCTGGTATCCTATGGCATGACTAAATATTTGGCAACAGGAACAAGTCTGAGCTGTGTGCTGTACCTCTTTTCAGGAATCTGAGAGCATCCTCTCCTGGTTTGCCAAAGCAACCTGCGCATTTGTCATTGGTAATGCCAGGATGACTGCTTGGGGTCCCCCCTTCCCTATCCCTGCTTATTATCTCATACCAATTTGGCTTTTTGCCTGTTTGCTGTACTCGCTATTCGTCTGACAGCTGCTTTTTTCAAAGAGCGGT